CGGTAAGTCTTTCTCTGTGTCTGCAATTATGACGAGAGCGCAAACCTTAAGGGAGCTTGCCAAGATAGCTCGCTATATGTGCCTAGGTTTTTACTGAAACGGCCTTAAGACCACCCAGGGTCAGTCCTATACTCCCTATTCATTTTAGGCCATGGTGGGGAACCCTTTTCTCGGTAATCAATAAGAGTATTTCTGTCACACACACACACACACACACACACGCATACACACACATATATATATATATATATTATTTTGCTCAAATTTTTGTTTTATATTGATCTAGAGTTATTTATACTAATTGAAAATTAAATTGTTTTGTACATTTTTTGTATTGACATTTTAACTCTCTTATTGTATTATTAAAAATGTGTAACACAGAAACTGCTAGGTGCATATCTTAATTCTAGTGTAGGGGGCAGGATAAAAGAATCAACTTTCCATAATGGCAGGTTAAGAAAGTAATGGTACCTATGCACTGAAAAACACGGTTTCGGTATAATTGACTTCAAAGTATAAAAAAAAACAGGCGAATATAAATTTTTATTGAAAGAGCCATTTCTACATAGCCTCCAGCTTGATAGTCATTGTTAGAGTCATGTCTTCGCTTTTCGGCCTTTTTTTTTTTTTTTTTTTTTTGCTGGCCGGGTTTTTTTGTGACCTGTCGTGTCCCTCGGTTCGCAAATTATATTAGAGTCCGGTCAACTTGCCTGTCAACTTTGAGAATTTTTTTCAGGAATCCTGCCGATCCAGTATAGCCTGCTCAGGGCTTCCTCTCCCTGCTCTTTTCTTTTTATCAAATGCAATGGCGACACATAATTGGGAAGATTTGAGTTATAATAAGCCATCTGACGTACATCCCTATTGATAAGAATAATGGTAACCAACAAAAGTTATATTTATTATCACTAAATCAGGAAGGAATACCTTATTTCAAGATAACTTCAATTCTTACATTTTTGCACAGGCATGCTGGTTTCAGTTTGACACTGTTTTGTTTCTTTCTTGTACACAACTTTTTTAGCTTAAAACTAATTTAACGACGTATTTACAACGTATTTTAGTGTTTCGCAAGAATAAATAAGTCGAAGTTTTGCCTACGATTTATTCCTACAAAATTATTATGAACAAGAATACTACTTATTTTACTTTTATTTCGCGCAAGTATAGTTATTTTTTCAGCAAAAGCACTTGGTTTGTTAATTTGCTTTTGTTGCCACCATTTTATGTTCAAGGTAGAATGAAAGACCATGCAACTCTTGGCATGCTATGACGTATCACATCCGTTGAGTGGATTCGTGAATTTTCGCTTCCTATTGGTCGCTTTTGATTGTAATATTAACGGCGGTTCTGGCAACACATGCACGCACATGACGTTCCAGCATATATATTGGTCGTGATAGTGTAATATGCTTCATCTCTCGTGCTGGCTTTGCCGGCAGGAGGAGAAAAAAAGAAGGAATATAGGGGCCACTTCTGTGCCTGTTCCCATGTTGAAAGGTTGCCTTTTCCCACTTCAAACATGGTGTCAGATGTAGGATAGCATTCGTTATAATCCTTCAGCTTCCGAAGCCAGGGACTCCTGTTCGGACGTCGAAAGCGACCGCAAAAGCAGCTGTCCGGGAAAATTCACTGGTCAACCTTGAGATACGCAATCGACCATAAGGCCTATCATAGCATCGTTCCGAATTGCTCCACCTGAACTTTTTACCTTCATTTCTCCTAACGAATGGCCCGCATAGAATCAACGCTTTCTTCGCTTTCGCACAGTGTCAAGATTACACGCAGAAACCGAAGAAAAGCAGTCTGGTCTACTTGATGAGGCCTCCACGCGGAAAATATCTTCAATACTTTTAAGCTAAGCCCCGAAAACGCGAAGAAGTTCGAAGTTGTGTTGGCTCACTACAAGACTTACTTCTTCCCAAGACCCAACATAATATTTGAAAGGGCACGAGTCAACACAAGAACACGGGGACAACGCGAGTCCGCGGAAGATTTCGCAACAGCTTTGCATGCGCCAGTTGACACCTGTAACTTTGACGAGCTAAGGACCGCTTAGTATTGGGACTGCAAGACAGAAAAGTGTGAGAAAACCTACAGTGGTAGTCGTCAACGGACCTGCTCAAGGCGCTCACAATTGCTCGTGAACACAAAACAGTTTGACAACCGCAGAAAGAGCTACGATACCCTAAAAGCACAGAGTCAGTAGACCAAGTTTACGCCAAAAGAATATTTTCTGTGCCACAAAAAGCTGCAGTGGCTGGTGACAGAAATTTGTCAAGACCCTATCACGACAGCAAAGATCCAGAGCTATCCTGTACCAGGTGCAGACACCAAACGCACCCTCGTGTGAGTTGTCCCAAAAAAGACGCTGTGTGCCGAAGTTGTGGAAAAAGAAGACACTTTATGACAGTTTCCCGATCGACGTCCACTCTCAGGAATGTCACCGAGCAGGTGGAAGAACTCCTTTCCGCGGGACACTTAATGGCGGCCTTTAGCTCGACCTCAGCAACCACAACGACTATGAGAAAAAGCCGGGATTCCTCGGAACCGCGAAAGGGTCCGCTTCTTGAAAGGTTGCCTTTTTCTGACTTCAAACAGTGATGACCTTACTATTTTGATATAAAAAAACACAAGAAGATTAGTTTGTAGAATTACTATAAGATGGACCATTTGTAGAACTATTATAAGAAGAAGACTGAACAATAGATGGTCCACAGGGTCATGTTCGCCAAATAGTGGACTTTATTTACCGTAAAATATTTTGAAAAGCAGCGTTTTGAAACATAAATGAAACTTTGAAAGTAACTGTGAAAAACCGCCGCTGTTTTGTCTAGAATCCTTCACAATCGTAAAGTACAGAGCCTGTAACATTGTTTCGTTTACGCAATTTGTTTTCGTTACACAAAATGTTTTATTTATTATTTTTTCTTACAAATGATTGGCCACGTGCGAAACATTTTCCGGGCTATTAGGATGTTTTTCTGAAGTTGGGAGTATCGGGATTGTTCACAATAAGATTACAGAACGTTATAGTAGCGAACAATAACCATTCAGAAATCTCTTCAACCAACAGCCACCTGCCGCAATGGACGCGAAACCGGATCTTCCTCGTGACGTGGCGATTTCACAATCTTGCGAGGGAGCAGATGATCATCTGGTCTTTTGGCCGCCAGATGCAGTTTCGAGTTTGTTCCTTCGAAGACGCAATATTTTTTTCTTACATAAGGAATTACTCCTCCTTACCGCAAAGTTCAATGAGCATTAAATATAGCGAAGCACCTCTCGCTTGTTTTATGCGATCGGATTGAACAAAAAAAAACTACACACAATGTCTGATATCACTCGAAGCCTGAAACACATTAACAATGTAGTATCAATAATAATATTATAATAGTATTTTATTTGCACATAAATAAACTGCCCTGGGTGACGTGCTGGGCTATAACAGTATAGCTATAACACTATAACAATATACACATTGATAATGCGTAACTGAAGGAAACATGAGCATATGTTATGTTTCCGCAGCCTGACTTACTGGCCGTCACAGAAAAAGAAGTGTTGACATAACTGTAGATGTTGTACTTTTGATAAGTTCAGCATTATTTGTATCAACACAAATAACTCAAGTTGTAGGGGCAGAAAGACTATGAATATCACGCCCTGCAAGGTTCGTACAACAAACAAATATATCTGAATGGGATCTCAAACCATAAAGGCACAGGACAATTAGCAAAGATACTACAATTTAATGTTTTACTAGCCCCCAGGCAGAACGCAAACAGTTGTTGCTGAGGAGCATCATTGGTCATGCGCCATCCTACTGGCTCAAAACCTTATGGTTCATACTTATTTCAAAGCGTACGTTTGTATTGTGACATTTATCATGAATATTAAACGCAATTCTCATTGTTATGTTAGGGGAGAATCTGAAAAAAAAAAAGACGAAATCTTTGAATAGCACATTGTTAGCGTGCTTAAACAAATTGTTCGGTAAGTTTGTTTTTTTTCAGCTTCACTTGTGTCCTTCAAAATCTGTGAGCCGCCACCTTTCGTGGCGTTTTGTTATTTTTATTTAGTGAATAATTACAAATCATGTTCAAATCAAATTATGATTTTAAACGAGTATGTTTTTTTTATATTGCCTAAGAAAAAATACTAGACGGAATCGAAGACACTCTAAAAATGAAATTAATGAACAGAATTTTTGTTTGATGAAGGTCCATAGTGCAGCAGGTGTAGCACGCATGCTTGCCTGGTCCCTAGTCAAATTTTATTCAAAGGATTTCACACCGCCTAAAAATAATGCATTCCCAATGTTGGTCAGGTGCAGCATTGCACAGTGGCTTAACCAGTATAAACCATTTCTTTTGTTTTTACAAATTTAATTTTTCTTATAAATTTAATTAATCCAAAACATATTTATTTATATTTTCTAAGCAGAAAGTAGTTTGAGTATAAGAAGGTTAATCATGGAACCACCTTTTTCTTCTTTTTTTTCCTATTTTGTGAGGAGGCGTTGGCATGTCACTCGCAGGAGGTGAAAAAAGGATGCAGTTGGCAACAGATAACTCGTCCCTATCATATTCTAACAATTAATAATGCACCTGACCATTATAGCACTCCTTTTGGACATCGAGTGTTGGCTCACAGCTTTCGGGGCTGTCTATCAATGCTGCCAAAATTGTAAAACTATTTGCCTGAAAAATCACTTGAAATATTTGAGTGAGGTTGCCGAGCGGTTGAGTAGGATAACTCCTGCCAGCTCGGACCATATAGAGCGAAAACTCGCACTGCAGAACCCGGGATCCTGGGTTCAATCCTCACCACTGCCCGTTCCGACCTGAAAGGGCATCGTACCGGCGTGCGGTCGTATATTACTACTGCGTGGTGCACGTTAAAGACCCCAGGCTAGCGGTTGTACTGCATTGACTGAATTGCTCATCTGCAGCTGAGGCACCAGACGCCAATTGGGGCTAGCTTCCGGTTGTATAAGCATGCACACAGCACAGTTACAATTAACTGTCCGAGTGCCTTTAAGCAGTTTTGGCATAATGTGTAAGTAAGCGTGGCACTCGCCTCACTCGAATACTGAGCGAATGACTGCGCTTATTTTGTAATCTCTTTAGGTCTCTTTGTATCAGGCTCCAGGATGCCAGCAATTTTTTTCCAATTTTTCTTTTTTTATTGTACTGCTGTTTTTCCTTGGTGAGTAGCCCTTCATGTTTTGAGGATACATTCTTCACCTGAGGTCATGTTCTGACTTTTTTGTGTGTGTGTGTCTTGCTTCCAGGACTCACACTGTAAAGCCTCGAGCAAGCAAAAGATATAAACGCAAGAGGCACAATCTTTGGAATCTTCACCGAGATCTCAGCTGCAACATTTGCACATACAAATTGCAATGGCTGTTTTTGCTTGTGTATCCCTTGTCAAAACTTTTATATGTATTAGAACTATCTTGGTATAGTAAACGCATATGATCGAATAAAATTATACAAGAGCATATAAGAACCACACAAGTGTATATAAGAAGTTACAAGGAACTTATAATCAGTTTTTTTTATAACTTCCTGTGTAATTTTATATTCTTATATCTTCTAGTAAGACTCTTATATGCTCTTATAAGATCCTATTTGATCATATGCGTTTAGTGGACCAAACTATGTCTCATACATATCAAATTGTTCACTATGGATGTAAAATTTGCCCTGTTACAGTTGTCTTAAATTTCAGGTGTTGGAATTTTTCATCCTCGCTATGAGCGCTTATGCTATTTTTGCTTACTACGCAGGATGTTCTTGTGTTTTTGCTTTTTTTTGTCATGTTTAAGTCAGTGTGACTAAACGCATGCGTGTTTTACAGATATTACTATATCTGGTTATTTTCTGCTTATCGCTAACTTATATAACAACTCTTCTGAATGACTTGATTTTGTTCTACACGTGACTTGCGAAATTGCTGATGAATATGTTACTATTTGTTAGCCCATATTTTTTCATTTTCCCATAATTATATAAAAAGCTCAAAGTTGGTGCGCGCTCCATTTGCTGATCAGCTGGTGGTACAGTGATGAAGACAGATTTGCAAGATCTTGGCACAAAGAGAGCGTAATCGCATTCATCAAAGTCAAGATTATTGTTTGTTTGTGTGCCATATTTTCTTGATATATCATCCTTTTTTTCCAGCAGCATTCTGGTCGTCGCAGCTTTAGAAACGCGGCGTCATATTCCTTGACAGTGTAACAGACATTTACCTTTCCTCATACATTTTTATGACTAATATTTGTAACTAGCTTTATTCATTGAAGTCTTATGTATGATTTACGCGCACCATACTAGTTACTGTTGTCAAAATAAGTTATACACTTTCATATAAGTGCTTTATAGGTAAATTGTTCTAGCTCCGGGTAGCTCTCTACTTCCCCACTCCAAAAAGGATTAATGCATTTACCAGATATAAACAAACCCAAGATGTTTGTTACCAGTCATATCGTTCTTTGTAGATGGAGTTTTTTCACTGTACTCACAAACCAAAACCGTTTTGATGCACCCGTGATGTAATAATTGTTTAGACAATATTGCTTCTTCTTTCTGAGCATCTTTACATCTTTCCAGGTTTTTTTCTTATTTTTGCATTATAACCACTTATTTAATAAACGTTTTCCAGACGATGTTTTAAAGTACGATCTTGAGTATTTCTGATATTCGAATTAGACCAGAGTCACTAAGAGGGTTAAAGCTGCAGCGCATCTCTTTTGGATGCCCGACGTCCAGCACACGCTTGTTGCCTTCCGCCGTGCTTTGGCTGCGCATGTAAGCTCCCAGCTCACGAGACGCTTAAGCGTTGCCCTAGGTAGGAAGCTTGCGCTGGAAACGAAACATCCGAAAGATTTCCCTTCTGTTCTCCTTTTGTGAATGACTACAACGCCGTATTTCCAAAATAAAAAAAGGGGACTAGCGTGTATTCTCAATTCCGGTGCTTTCTCGGGCCTGAAGGGAAGAGTGTTCCTTCTATTGCAATCGCAGTGTGCCCACTGTCCGTTAATGCTGAACTTGTCTCGCGAAACGTCATGCAGGCTATTACCTCCTGGACCGCGAGTTCGGCGTCTTCCGGTGTCCTCACTGCCCGAGAAGGTTCAGGCACCAGGGCCACCTTATCCGGCACGTGAAGACTGCCCACGCCGAAGAAGCGGACCGCCCGTTTCCGTTCCTCTGCCAACACTGTGGCCTCAATTTCGACCAGAGGGACGCCTTCCTGGACCACCTCTCCACCCATGCCGGCAATCCCGCCTACAAATGCCGGCACTGCCCAGCGTCGTTCTTCAGCGACTTCCAGCTGATGGTCCACAAGCAGAGGTTTCATCCGGCCAAGTGTCCACCGTACACCCCGCCAACATCAGATTGTTCATTAGCAGACTGGAAGACCGCGGCCGTCAAGGTTGAGCCATACCGCTGCGAACGGTGCCCCGAAGCGTTTGATCAGCCGTCACTGCTGATGAGGCACCGGCTGATGCGTCATTCCAATATGGAGCTGTTTCAGTGCCACCTCTGCCCCAAGGACTTTATCAGAAGGGGACACCTCGCGAGGCACCTACGTACCCACACGCAGGCGCCGCCGTAGAGGAGCACCCTAGCGCTTTATTTCGTCTGGCTGTAGAAATGTTTGTTGGAGCGTTTGCTGAGGTGTGGCTCCCTGTGAATGATACCCGCGGTGGCGATCAAGCGCCGTCCAGTAAGAGACGGTGTGTCGTGAATAAGGCTAGGATTCACAAGGTGATCATTAAAATCCTCCAATGAACCTCGGAGTTCTGCTGCTTAAAGCTCCTTTTCTCTTTCTCCTTTGCTCGGGATCTGATGATAGTAAGAACCGAATCTGTGGAAGTGTTGCAAAGATGCTAGAAGTTAGGTATATAATACTTGAGTTGTAGACTATGCCAATTCTTGTTTTGCGTTCTGGGTGCCGTTATCGATTTCGTGTCATTATGAAATGAATCATATGTAAAACAATCTCGTCTCTTACGCTTCAAAATTAATGGCTAGTGAAACCTCACCCATTTATGCTAAATTCAAGAACTGTGTGCTTGATCTTTAAGGTGGTGGTCAAAAAGTTCTGATCTCTATGCTTAAGGGCAGAGTTATTTATAAATTGCGATGCAAGGCCCCCACATTCAATGCCTTTCACCATTTCACTACTGTTTTCTGCATTCATCAGAGTCGACAGTACACTCTGAAGTAGGAACTCTGTCTTGGAAAGGTGTCAAAAAAAAGTGTGGGTGATATAAGTTGTGTGACTCTTCTTTATCTTCATGAATGTTGTCGTGAGGACGACTTTCAATTGTAGCGTCATTTTGTTCATACATCCAATTAGGGCTGCAGATCAATCATAATGGTATGACTGCCCTGAAAAGTGGTCACTATTTAAGCTAATTTTGTGTGTTGCTGCATTACCACCCTGGCTTCTTCATTTGGTAAACCATGGTCTACAATGGAAACGTTAATTTTTGCTGTTCATTTGCGTTTACTAATACTGCTTACCACAGAAACATCACACCCCTTCTCGCATTGTAAGAGTCACAGCTCAGAACGAGGTGAATGCACTAAGATAGACCATGCTGCTTTAACTTCGGTTAACCGAACATGGCAAACAAAACTGTAGAAATTTCATCTGTCACACATCAATCATTCTATGGAAGTTGAAGACATTTACTACAATTCAAACTCGAGAGTGAAAAACGGACAGGGAACATTTAGAGCAGAGACAATCTAAGGACCTCGTCCTCATGTGTTTCTCCTTCCCTCATTTTTCACTCCCCAAGTTTTTATCATGCCACATTTATACCTGCTGTTTGCACTCATTGCCTTTCACTGCACACTTTTGTACAAGCATCTTGATATTTTGGCGCTTTGACTGCCATGGAAAAGACACTGACTCTATCTTCAAGGTTTCTGTGAAGTCGCGTCTCCAATGGATCACTGTCATTATGCTTTCCTCGATTTTTTTGTTAGATACACTGATGGCTGATTTGCAAATTATTGGTCTTCATTTGCAAATTGTTAAATGAAAGAGCAGTCGACGAATGTCACGGTCAAATACGCAAGAATTTATACTGCTGCTACTTAGTAATGCTTCTGTTTTTACAGCCACCTCAAACATTTATGCTTCCACTATACTTAAGTTCTACAACTGTTTGCGAAGGTTACATTTACAGTTTAAAAGCAGAACTTATTTCCCCTGAAGCCTTTACTCTATAGGTTTGATTTAAAAGGAATGTTTATAAATAAATATGGTATGTCCATCGGGTTCAATAAATATCATATATGCTACATATTTCGCTGCGACACAGCGTTTTCTAATGGCGAATTCCACTGGGCGTTTTGGAGCGAACAGGGCTCAGTTGACCAGATTCGGAATGGAGCACACGATCCGAATGGGGTCGCGCCGTCTACGGATTCCCAGATGAGCATGACCACTGCTACGGGATCCGCGGATGCCTTCCCGTCATTCACCTGCCCGGGAATCCCCTTTCCGCGGCCGCCGCGGTCGTTTCGAAGACGTTTTCGTAATCGCGGTGCTAACACGTGTTCGACGCACGAGCGGCAGGAATGGCTCAGGAGCTTCTAGCAAAGATTGCCGGAATGCTCGTAGCGCGACAAAACCTTCTCTTCTCCTTCCTGGAAAACGAACCGTCTGTCAAGCCAAGGGGTAAGCAAGCGGCCATTACGAATTCTTCTCAGGCAAAATGGGCGACATCAGGCGAGATGCCCCTTGAGAAAGGAAGTCACGTGTGTGCGCCGAGGGCTGGCTTGGCTGGCTTCCGGTTGAATCCGCCGAAATCGTCGGAGCAACTTTTCTCGGATCCAGATCGAGATCTGGAGCGGGAGCTAATCCAAAACGACCAGTGGAACACGTCCGTCTCGATCCCGATCGCCAAGTGAAATAGGCTCGCTCCAGAAAAGTTGATCCCGGCGCGCTCCAAAACGATCAGTGGAATTCGCCATAATATGTACCGTTTTCACATGTCTAACAGAAAGATTTCCGAATTCCCGGTTTCAGGGTTTTGTGGCATGAAATTGCGTGGGCGTGACAATAGTGAGTGCGACCATTCCTTGGAGCATCTCGCTAGGTCCTCTTGGCTCAATTGAGCAAGTTCCTCGGCTGACTTCGCAACATATCGTTTTTGTGCCTGTTTTGGGTAATCTATCGGCGAAGTTTATACAAAGAAGTCTTTCCCTCTCTTCCGAATGGCGCCCTTTATTTTCTTGACTGTTCTAGCAAATACGATTCTACAAAAAACCACCGAGCAAAGTCTCTGAGAATGGGCGCCATTTCTTTGGAAAGTGGTGAGAAAGCAAAAGGTTTTTGTGTTTTTTTTTTATTAAAGTAACACCCTTACGTCTGATATTTTTACAAGATACAAAACTTCTAGGTGCAACACATTGCTCCAACTTTTCCAGTATAACCCTTCTTTTGGTAAAACACATGCAACAACTAAGACCACAATCAAGGGGATTACTCAAGTTTTTCTTAGATGTCTAGTCATTGAAATCGTTCACAATTGTGACTATATTAATTTTGAGCAAGATCTTTTGCCTTTAGGTGTAGCTTTTTTGTGCTATAGCAGTGCCTGTGATCTAGCATTGGTGTTGACAATATATGGTTCCAAATTTCGTAATAAATATTTATTTTTTATCCACTGCCTGTGCCGCATCTGTTAACAATTAATAGATGTGTGAGAGTTAATGGCAGTGAAAATACGGAGAGTCATATCAAAACGTAGCTGGAGAGTTAAGATTTATTTGCACATTGAGAAAGTGCAAGAGCCTACTTGCACTTGTGCTGCTATATAAAGCGGGTCTTTAGCGGCTTTACTGCTTCGTTTTAAAGAAGCCGTGAAAGCTACATTAATGCGGTCTGTGAAGGTGAGTTATACAGTCAGTGGCAGATAAAATAGGGGGCTTATCACCACCATAAGTGAAATAATTTGCTAAATTGTGTTAATAAAAGATCTAAAGAGATTGTCCGGTAGAAACCGGAAATGTTTAAGTTTTTTGTGCTCATTACTGCAAGATACCCTTCATAAAGACAAACGTCATTTTATTTTGATATGAGGTTCCAATATTAATTAAACCTTTCATGAACGTGTGTACGAAGCTGCACCCTGAATTTTGCCAGAGTCAATGGCTGACATCCGTAGCTGCTGCGTGACGTTACATAACGCAAAGGATCGTCGGATGGTCGGAATAACAAGCGTTAGTCGATGGATGCCTTGTATTTTGTTTCGAGTTATAGTATCCTAGGCTGTACCCTACTGAAATACGTTTCTTTTAATGCAGTTCCCAATGCAAATACGTTGCGACTTTTAGCAGAATATTACTCTAAAGCTGGCGTTACCTTCGAGCAAACATATGCCGTTTCGCGCAAGCACAAATGCGACGGCTACCGATCGGACAAGGCGCGCTTGCAAAGGTCACTGGTCATGGCGCGCTGGTCGTATTGCCGAGAGTCCAGATGTCTCTCAAGCGGCATCTGGACTCTCGAAGCGACATCTGGATCTACGACGCGGCATCTGGGTCCACATATCGGCGAATCCATTGGATCGGTGATGCGGCTGTGGGTCGTTCCCTCAGGGGCGGTGCCCGCGGATCGAAGGCAAACGGTGAATTGTTCAAAATGCATATAACATTTCTAGATCGTCACTTGTCATGGTCGAGCTTGATGAATCGTAGACACGCTTCATTTTCACACGCGGGTCGAACAGAATAGGGTTGCACGCATGCTAAATATAATTCAGCATCGTTTCAAGATGACTTAGTCGTTGGTTTCGGTTCCGCTGCGTGATCAAACCGATTAATCCAATTTGGGCGAGGAGTTGGTGGACGTAGTTGAACATCGTTGGCGCAGCATCACACCCTAGCTTACGAACCTTATGTTTGCTTAGTGCTCAGCTCTTAGCTCTCCTCTGTGAAATGATTGCTGCATAAGCGGGATCTCGATCTTGAAACGAACCCAGTGCCCCCTACGCACGGCTAAGATCCTTTTAGCTCCTCGCTACACGTCTCGCGGATCGCAAGCGCTGCCCGGTGGTTCTGGCACCCAACCACGCAACAAAACTTTCATCCATCCACGAAACAAGTTGAGCACAATAAAAATAAAGCACGCTGCGGCATTCACTTGCAGGGAAACGACGAGATAAAAATACACTCTCTGCATTATGTGATCTGCACTGTTTACACTAGGATGTGATCGGAGCATTTTAATATTCAATTACTTACGCAGAGCGGCATATAAAAGTAAGATATTTCACGGACGATGCGTTTCGAGACAATAACAATAATATTCAATTGTTTTCTCGAATAGAACATTTGACCGGACAATCCCTTTAATGAGGGAATGTAAACATGTAGATTTCATTAAAAACATGCTGAACGTCATCAAAATGTACTAAATAAGTAAAGTTTAGAAAGATTTGAAGCGCGTAAGAAGGCGCTAGTGTGCTAAAGTTACTACCCGTGCAACGGGCGCAACGCTTGCGGTTGCAAAAACGCAATAAGAAAAAGTGCTACGTAGACTCTAACCAATTTCTTCAATGTACCCGACGTTTCGAAGCCAGCTCGGCTCCT